TTTTCTGATATTATCATCCTTAGTTTTCTGATATTGTCATTCTTAGTTTTCTGATATTATCATCCTTAGTTTTCTGATATTTCCATTTTTAGTTTTCTAATTTTATCATCCTTAGTTTTCTGATATTATCATTCTTAGTTTTCTGATATTATCATCCTTAGTTTTCTGATATTATCATTCTTAGTTTTCTGATATTATCATTCTTAGTTTTCTGATATTATCATCCTTAGTTTTCTGATATTATCATTCTTAGTCTGAATTTATGAAGAACACTGAAATTTTAACATTTCATATACACTAAGATACTGTGTGTTTAGATTTGTGAATGGAGACCACTATGAGGTAATTGTAAATATTTTTTTCAAAAGGTAAATTGAGTCTCCTTGGGTTCCATGGTTTGTCTGTATTGGTCATAATTTTAACGACATTATTTAACAGAAGGTAATTCACAACTGTGTATTCAGATATACCATGAAATGAACTGACACATAAAAAAACATCTTCTTTCATTGTCCAAAAATGTTTCCTAAATTTACTAAATTTAAAATTAGTTCTTGTTTTGAGTTTTAGGGGGGGGGGCGCCCCTTAAAATTCTGAACAACAAACTTTTTTAATGTTCTTTACTAGCAGTTATTGATTTGAAAAGTTTAATAGCTTTGAGTTGTAGGGTGGGCCACTGCCCCTCTTGCCCCCCCCTCCTGTGTACGCCCTTGATTTGAATCTGGATTCAGAATGCCAAAATGTTGTAGATTCAATGAATCCTGATTCTAAGCACTGTCTTTAATAAATGAATAAAAAGTTGTGTTTAGAGTGTTTCTGTATTAACTATCCCGGGACTAGAACAATCTACCAGTTCCACAGTTTGTTATTGATGTATCTGACGATAAAGGACAGAAGAAGCAGCTGGATATAATATTGAAGGAGCAGCTGAATGAAGGAGAAAAGAAGCAGCTGGATGAAGGAGAGAAGAAGCAGCTAACTGCTCAACCTTCAGGAGGAATGAAGCAGTTCAGTTGTAAAATAGCAATCACTGTTGGAAAGCATGTTAGCAATTTAACCCTCAGAAATGTGTTGAACAAAATTGTCAAAGTAAGTCCTTAGTTTGTTATTAAATAGATAATATTGATAATAACATGCACAAGATACAATTTAAAGTAATATTTTTCACTAGCTGAATCCAAGCTGTAAAATTATACAACACAAGGGAAAATGTTTTTAATCTATTACCCCCCATGGGGGTACTGATTGATTTCTTCAAAAAATGTCAGCCAATTTGGCCAGCTAGATTACTTTAATATTTTTTATATTGAAATCTTTTTTTTCATTTTTTTCATGATTGTCAATTCTTCAATAATACTTTGGCTAATTTTGAAAAGAAATGGTTTTTTTGCAGTGCTTAGGATCCATTCAATTTTGATGCGGATCCGAATCCGGATCCTGGATCCTTACTGGAAAAAATGAATCCGGATCTGGATCCAAATCCGGGTCCGGATCCAGGTCATGTCTTTAAGATTTACTGAATTTTTTTAACAAAATTTTTTCTTCAAATTTTTGGTTTGATTTTTTTTGTTTATTTTTATCCTTAAACTTGATCATTCAGAAATGTGGAAAATTTTATGATCTCTCTTTTTTCAAAAGTTCAGATTTGGGGTTTAGGAGTAAAAAAGATTTTTTTGCAGTTTTTGATTAATTTTTTACCCCTTGGATCCGCATATTTTTGAGGATCCGGATCCAGGAAGCCAAAATCTTGCGGATCAAAATAGTTTTAAATTTTAGTTCAGCAATATGCAAGACAGTGCATTAGTTATTTATTAAACATATTATAATTTAGGTCCATAAGCTTTATCGGTTTAGAAGGAATAGTTACAGATGCACTTTGAAGAGGTTGGTTTTCTTAAAATCGTTTCTACATCATGCTTCTACATTCATAGATTTAAATCCTTTTAATTTCTACTCTAATTTTCATAGATTGGAGCGCATCCAGAGTATCTAACTCTATATACAACCCTGCTCTTTAATATAAAGCAAGTTTTATTTATTGCTTAGGGTTTATAGTTACATAGTTTTACATTTTACCAAGAAATTTTTGAAGTATCTAGGTTTTAATTTTTAAAAATTTAATAAGTATTTTATTTATATTTTATAATACATATCTTAACATATACAAGATACATATTTTCAACGCAAAATGGTTATGTTTTCCAGTGTAGACTTATTCTGATCATTAACAGTTACCTTAATTTGAATAAATAATTTTTTCAAAATTAATTGAATCAAAGATTTTCATATTAACTTTTTTAAGATTAACATATTTGTTTACTTAATTTTAACATTGGTTATGCATTTTTTCTTTGAAAATTTATTACACAGTGCAATCTTCTTAAATTCTTTAGTTTAGTGAGGTGATTGGAATATTTATTTTATTTAGTTTAAGTGATGTAGAAAAGCTTTTGAGCCAATCTGGTAGAATTTATTTATCTGGAAAAAGTATCACCTTCACTGTAGTTAAAATGTATCATCCTACATGTAATAATCCTGCACCATCTTTAACAAAAACTGAGGTACTAGTCTCAAATTCAACTAATTATTTAGATTTTACTGTTTATAGTCGGGCAAAAACACAAATTTTAAATTGATTAGAAACAATTTTAAACTTTTTTTTTCTGGAAGTTGCTACTGTGCTTTCAAATATATTTATTTTCAACAGGGGCATATTCAGGAATTTGTCCAGGGGGGGGGGCTTAAATTTTTTTCTTTCAAGGGCGAGGGCTCAGCACCCGTTGGGGCATGAAAACCCCCTGAAATCAATAGATTTCACTGGTCCAGGGGGGGGGGGCTTAGCCCCAATAGCCCCCCCCCCTTGAATACGCCTCTGATTCTTAGGGGTCCATATAATATCATTTGACAAAATGGGATTGAGATTGAAAGTATATTTTGGAGCAGGCAAATACACTTACTGTGTCTTTGTGAAGTTGCTACCTTTAGAAATGTGTGCTACATTTGGTGTGTTAAAAGATGTAGATATCAGTGATTGATATAAGCGATAAAAAATGAAAACTTTGAAGTAGAAAATGCACTCTTTGACACATATTTTGATTTTTCAGAGGTATAATTTTATTTCCTTAATATTTATGTAGAGTTGTGATCTTCTGTATGAAAACCAAGATGATTTGAAGAGAGGAAATGATGATAAAGTCAACATTCTACCAGCAATTAAATCTGATTGTAATATAAACTTTGATTCTTCAGAGGTATATTAAACCAAGTTTAATGTCATTATGCCATTAGTCGCAAAGCTTTCTGAGATATATTGGTCATTCAATGTGAAAATGGAATTGTGTTTCTGTTAAAAAAGACATTGTTTATGTAGATTGTGACAGATACAGAAGAACAGTCCCTGAAACAATTGTGGATGGTAATGAAATATTAATATTTAATCACATTATATAAATTGGAAACTTCATTATTTATTGCCTGTGCTGATAAGTTTTCATGTATTTTACCATAACAATTGAACTCCAATTAATTTGAAGTAATTAGTTATAGGCAGCTAGAACAAGTTTAAAGTTTACATACAGGCAAAAGATAAGCCCCCTGTCCTTTGTTACATATGCAGGTGCTTTAAAATACAGCTGTGCTTTACTATTACAACTCTGCTTTAAATAAAATAACTTTTAGGAGGAAAACGGTGCATATTTGGAATGTTTTCGAAGATATGGAGGCAATCATGAAGAGATTAAGGCTATTTTGAATTCAAATGCCAACTTTCTCAACAGTGATGCCTTCTTTTATTATGCAGGGATGTATATGTATAATGTATATACTACATATTTTTATTTCTTTATCTAAAAGTTTCATCATACCTTTTTGAACTTGTTGGTTCCTTTTTTCTATCCAACTTATATTACATATACCTGTTCTTTGAGTAGAGGAAATCTGCGAATTTGCAAAAGAAAATTCACACACAACAAGTCTGGTTCTGGACCATACAGGCAACATTTTTTATGAAACAAATTTTCATAAGGCTATTTTGGTTTAGTTAAATCACTAGAAATACGTATTTAAAAGTTAAAAACTTTTTTCCCTTTTCAGATGATATACTGAAAAAAGTTGTAAGTAATTTTCCAGACATAGATCATCAACAGTTCACAAAACTTACAAATAATCTGCACAGTTTAAGGCAGTCAATAGTTCAAAGAGAGGAGTTAGTGTTTTTAGACTCTGAAATCTTGAAGTAAAGGTAATAATTTGTTCAAGCTGATTTTATATTCTCACATAAAAGCTGAATTTGCTTTTACTACACACTTGCTTTACTCAAAATTCCTTTTACCATTTTTTTCTTATTTGATGATATCAGGAAAAAATAAATTTTAGTTTTAATGAAAAAATCTTTTTTTGGGGGAAAAAATGATGACTTGCCACAAATTCCGATTTTTAATCCTTGTACCTTTGTAACCTGATGTCATAGACCTTTGATATTTCAAATTATGAATTATGATAGATCTAATAGTAAAAGTTGATGATATCAAAGGTTTATACCATTATATTGTAAAGATATAGTAATTAGATAATTAAACTTTTGGAAAGTAATCAGTTCTTTTGGTGTCATGTTCGCAACTCTTTCTTAATTCTTAAATCATGATTTTTAATAATTCGAAAATTGCATTCATAAATATTGTACATACTCCTTTTATAGGTGAACTGATGCAGATGATTGTTCTAAGATGAAATTTGCGATTTGCTCATATATATTGTAACAATTGTGTTAATACTATCTTATTCCAAATCTTAACTTTATTAATCTGAAATGTTTTGTTACTGAATTTTTATGAATAAATTTAGTAATGGAAATGAAAATCATAAATAATTAAAGATATATTTTGACTTTGTCAGTTTTTTGGCGTAAAAATTTAGTTACTCCAACTGTTTTAAAACTATTTTTTTTCTTCAGAAAAATGGTTGTAGACTGGAGTGCATTATAACAGAAAAAAACTCTTGACAATTGTGTTGAGCAGGTTTGGAATTAAAAATTATTGTTTTGTCTACTTGGATTAAACATGGATAAAAAAAGAACTTAAACTAAATTTTTTTTAAATTCTTTAATAAAAATTAAATCTTATACTTTCCTAAAGTAAAATGAAAATTTCTTAAAAGTTTAAATATACTTATACATCTAAACATGTGTTTAATAATTTCATAAATAATTCAGATATTAAAAACCACAGATATTTGATTTTAGATAATTTGATCTACATGAATTACAAATGAAAGAGAAGTGATGAACTAAATCTATATTATAAAGCACAGAGTTCCAGGCAGTGCAGTAATATAAAAGGAAATGAGTTGTTGCCACAAACTCATATTTGCTTATCCCTATATATTTGCACCCTGAGGATTCAAACCTTTGATATTTTAAACGTAGACTATTTAATCTAACATAATTCATAGTTTGGAATGTCAAAGGTCTATGACATTGGATTGAAAAGATATTGGGATCAGAAAATACCTTTCTGCATAAATTAATGACTGTTCATATAGGACTGTTCAGATGAGAACATGGAGCCTAGAGAGTTCATTGAGAATGTGAGGCCGGAGAATGGTGTCAGCCCGGTTTTAGATTATATGTGCTACTTTTAGCTCCAGGTACAACCAATTGGATTAGATTCAAACTAACATCATTATTTTTTTCTGTGTTCTGTACTTTCTGTGTTTGAATTGAATTAAAAGTGGGCTTAAAATAAAAACTATGAGACCAAAAAACATCCTTATACCTTTTTTTCACAACAAATATCGTTCTCAACATTTTTAACTATGCTTTTAGGAACAGACTATAGTACAGTACAGTAACCTGATGTTCAGATCCCTCTGAGATAAAACATGTTTTGCTTATGGTGAATATCAAAGTCTACTTTAGGAATAGGCCTATTGTACAATAATAGAAACATTAAGCAAGTTAAGAAGAAAAATAAATTACTATTTCATATTTATACTCATATGCATGAAAATTAGGAACAATATTTACAATTTTAATTAATAAATATTGATTGTAAAAATAATAAATTTCGAAAAATTAATTGGCGCAGAATTTCTTCTGGAAAGTTATTGAGGCTTAAATCTCCCAATCTTTGTACATCCTTGAAGTCATCTCTTGATTGTTTAGCTGACTCACCCATCTGCTGACCCCAATGTAACCCATTTGCTTTTTATCAGGAATTTTTACATTTTCCTTTAACAGGCTTTATTTTCAAAATTTCAGTCTTCTCGGGTTTAATTACCTAGAACGACCATCCTATGGATTCTTGATTTTCTCAATTTTAATAAAAATAACATATTAAACCTGTTTTTAAATATGGGTTTTCCTGATGTAAATGTTGCATATTCCTGAAATTTAAAAATGAAAATTAAAGTTAATTTCTAGAAACTCGGAATATTAAAAAGATTGAAATTCTGAAATTGAATTAAAAATTAATTTAAATTACGTTTAAGTTTAATTATTTATCAACAATTTAAGAAAAACCAAGTTATTTTATCTGAAAACCTTTGCCAAATGAGTTTCTTTAAACTTGAAAATACAGTTGTTTTATGAAGACGATAAATAACTTGAAACATGGATACACTTGACTGCGGGTTATCTATGATAGTGCATAATAAATTGGATTTTATTGTTGCAGGAAACAGGACTGACTGAGATACCGGTCAACTAGAGCAAGTTGAATGCAGTATATAGACGGCTAAGCGGGACAGTAACAAATGGGTCATCTTCTGCTATAACAATAAAGTTTTCCTTGTATTGTTTATATACGATAATTTGTTACATTCTGGACACATGTGCAATTTGTATACTTTGTATACATAAAAATTACGTATGCAAATTATGCATGAATTTTTATTCAAACATTGGTTAAATTATTGGGTCTATGTTCCAAAACTTTCATAAATGCTTATTTTTTATTGGTGGGCTCCTAGAAGTGAGTAAATGTTAAAAACGATTTTTTTTTCTCTTAAAAGAATGATATTGATTAGAGTGTTATCACTAAGAAGTATTGGTTGGAGAGTCTAAACTATCACTTTTTCAGGGGAGTGGAAGCTGATTTTTATTTTCGAGGTTTTTTGTGGGGGGGGGGAGGGACTGGTCTCGGCAGCCCCCCATGTGCATAAAAAATTTCAAAATATTAGAGCTTTCTCAGGGATTTAAAAGTAAAGAAAAAACATGATTTTTTTAGTTGTTGCATGCAGATTTGGATCAGTGTTTAATGAAAATTGATTTTCTAATATCCTATGGCTTGTTCTTGTGTTTTTTTAAAAATGTATACCTCCAACAGCTGAAATATGACCGATAGAGTCAATTCACTGAACGTGTCTGCGAAGCGCAAAAGAAAAACTAGTGTCTTATTTTCCTTTTTTTAATGGTATATCTTTTTACATGTTTCTTAGCGTCACTGACTGAATCTTATTCTCTATGTGTATGAAGTCCTCTACTATAGTCTTCAGCATTTTTTTGTTATTGAATTATTTGTCCTTTATCATTTATATTGTCACTTTATTGTTAGTTTGTGTAGTCTGTAGTAAGTATTTCCTCTAAGAACTTTCTTTCAATCTTTTGTCTGTCCATAATCTGTATATATTCTTTCCGTTGTCCCTCTACCTTTGTTTTCCAGTAAGAGGGGACTATATTCTTCAGGGGCGTAAATAAGGATTCTGTAGAATTTTTTTTACCCCCCCCCTGGAAAAAATATCATTATGTATATCAAATTATTAGTTTTAGTTGGATTTGATTTGCATTTTCCACTTATTCTGGCATTTACAAACTCCATCAAATAAAGGCAATTAACTACAAAGATCTTTAAAAAAATTGACTTAATTTTAAGTAACATAAAAAATAGTTTTACTCTAAGAGGAAAATCTTTGAAGTTACTCTGCAAAACTTTGAAAAAATATTGTCTTTGTTTATATTATAATATCTAATTTATTAAATTTTCTTGTCGTCAATGTACAAGTTATATATGTTAATTTTACTATCTTAAGAGAAATGTCTTACTTTTTAGAGTTTAATTCTAAATAATCTTGATCTTTTAACATTTTATTCCCCCCCCCCCCCGGGAGAGCTTTATTCTTAATTTATAACATATAGTGCAAGAACGCTATTGCATTAAAAAACTTGATTTTTGGGTAAAATTTATCTACGTTACTTGTTAAAGTTGATTGAGTAAGATTATCTCCGCGAAGCGCTAACATTTTTTTACATTTTTCGAAAAATTTAAAAGCTCTCCAGAAGAAATAATTTTCTCTCCACTGGATTTAGAACCCTCCGATACTCTCCAGCAGTCTCCAATTATTAATGAAAGCTTCAGTCTCTCAAAAAAATCAACTTATCAAGTGTAACGGGCCCATATGAACACAAGACAATTGCTGCGTTTCATGTTTATTTGACTATTTGAAATCATAACTTCAGTTGGCAAGGTTCATGTTTTAGGTTAAAAAATTTAGACATACTTAACTGCAAAAATATTTTATCAATTGGAAAATGTGTTTTATGTTTTGTTCATCAATATTTTTTATAAAAACTTTAAAACAGAATAAAAAATCTTATTTCGCGTTGTATGTGTTAAAAAAAATTTAGCATTTGTCTTTATTTTGATATTTTTTAACCCCAAACATGAACCCTGAAAACTTTTTTATTGTGTTTTGTAAACTAAAGCTAATACCGCTTTTTTTACTCCCTTTGTAAGCAACATAAACAAGCACAAGAAGAACTAAACATTCGCCAGAGATTATAATTTTCTAATCTCTATATCCTTGTAAGCTGATGTTGTAGACTTTTGATATTTTAAAATACGAATTCTGAAAAAAAGTCTAAAGGAATTGAGTTTTTGTCACAAACTTATATTTCTAATCCCTATATCTTTTGCTACCAAATGTTGTAGACCTTAGATATTTCAAACTATGAATTCTGTTAGATAGAAGAAAATTTCAGTTTGCTTTAAGTAAAAATAGAAAAAAATAACTATTACTTAACGCTTAATAATTTAGAACTACTGTTCCACATGCAAAAGGGGTTTGCCTTGCCGAATTTTAACACATTTTATGAAATGTCCCAAAACATGTCTATTTTTAGCTCGTCAAATACACGATGATAATTTCAAGTGATCCTCCATTAAGAGCCATATGCTCGATTTCCAATGTTACCGTGTATACCTTTATTTATTTATTGATGATTTGAAAATACCAGCGTTTTCCTATCTTGTAAATGCAAGCCGGACATGCCACTCCGTAAATGGAAGGTCACTTGAAATTACGTATCTAGTCCCTTTATGACACACCCTTGAGTTAAAAGTCTAATGCTAAAAACTTTCATTCACAAATTTTAAAAACCGTTCAAATAATAATATTATAACATCTTTATATTGCTGCATTCTTCTACACATTCTCTAAAAAGGCTAACAATCCAACAGCAACATATACAGGGTGAGTAAAAACGGATTAACGACACTAATTTAAATACAAAAGTAGGAATACAATCTTATAATGCTTTCATTTAGAAACAATATTTTTTTTAATGAGGTGTAAATTAAGAAACGTCATTTTAATACAACGTAACGAATAGAACATTTTTTTATATCTTTCTTAGAAGCGAATCAACAGTTTTGATTGCAAGTTGTAAAATAATGTTAAAAAAAAAGTTTTCACAATAACGTTTTATTAAATCGTAAAGTAAGAAAATTTGCATTTTAGTAAGATTCCTAAGCTATTGGAAAAGTTAAGATAAAACGTAATGTTAACAAACATTTTCATTGCACTGAAATGGATTGCAACGTGCAGAACTATGCCCTAATGACGTTTTAAAGCAAAACCTTCGTCACCTTTAAGTTTCAAACCTATTGAAAGTGTAACGTAAGGTCTCTGAAAACATTTACCTTGCATGAAAGTGGAACGCTAAAAAATTGTGGTTATATTATTAAAGCTTTCACTCAGCAGTCAGCATTGGGAAAGTTTTTTAAAACAGGAAATGGAAAAGCGTAACGGAGCTTACTGTTGTTTCACAAACATTTACTAAACTTAACGTTGTATAAGAAAATTCATTACGTAACGTTACTCTATGTAATAAAATGTCATACTGTGCAACGTAACGTTTCAAACGTTTATACTTTTGATGAAGACTATAGTAACGAAAGCTAAAATCTAGAAAAGTAAAAATGTTGACATCTCTAATTCCTCTAATAGCTAAACATTGTTCTCTAATCCATTGTACTTCCAAACAACACTTAAAGCCTAACAGAAATTAAATTGCTTAATTGTCGTTCTTCCATCTCACTGTTTTACGGGTCCCACTGTATAATAGTTACTATTTAGAAATTATAGAGTGTTCATAACTATTATTAATCCTCAATTTTGATGAACAGAGAAGGCAGACTAGGCATATATTTTCTATCCTTAGACTATTTCAAAAATATTGAATTTAATTTTTTACTATCTCAAATTATAATAAGAGACTTTTTGACGTAACTAATGCTGAATATTTGAACTCGGTAATGCATGACAGGACGTCAGAGAAATGATTCACAGAAAATAAAATAATTTTCAAGAACAAGTTCTTCAAAACAATGTTTCCTTTTTGGCACGAAGTGCAACATTCAGAGCCCTAATAACACAGTAATAAATGAGATGCCGTTTACTCTTTTCAAAATGCCAAAATATTCGTAGATCAATTTCATTTTGATGCGGATTATTAAAAAATGGATCCTGTGTCAAGCATCAGTTCATCTTCTTCAGTGTTTACTGTTTAACCATTTCAACACAATTTTAGACATCAAAAGCCAACACTTGCCGATGTTTGTATTTAGAATGGAAAAAAACACATTAAACAACGTTGCATATCTCTAATTTTATGAACCATTCAGAGATGATGAAGTTCTTAGTATTTTTTCATAAGTTTTGTTTTTGAGAGAGGAAAAAGTTGATTTTAACAAATTTTGGTATTAAGACCCATGGTCCCAAGGATCCGCATACTTAGGCGGATCTGGATCCAGTAAGCCAAAATGTTGGTTCCTATAATCAATCAACATCTTTGATTTGAAGATTTGCAGATACATGGATATAAATATTTGGTTTTTAGTTAGTCAGGGATTAATTTTAAGGTTGGAGACAGACGTTCTTAAAACTTAAAGGTAGACTTTACTTTAAATAACTGAATGATATATTTACAATAACTTGCACAATTCTAATTTTTTTAAATTAAAAATGTGCATCACATTTATTTTCTTTATAAGAGGTTTGTTTTAATTGTTTTGAGCAATCCTAACTTAACTTTTACAATTTTTCCATAACAATTATAATGATATACAGGGTGTCCCAAAAAACATGGGAATTCAGTGACGAATTCAATATCGTCTTTGTTATGAATTAGCATTGTAATACCTAATTTCAAATGTCTGCTAGAGTTTATTTTATGAAAACGGTAAAAGACTGTAAAGATGTGTCTATAATGTCTCCGCACGATGAACAGTGAAGACGGCCAAGTTTACACTGTTTGTATACTGCAATTTTCTTGTTATACTAAGTACAACCGTATGCAGTCAAAACATAAACAAACAAATTGTAAACATAGCAGACGAAACTCTTACAGATTACAGCTTTCTCATTAGGTATAACTATACTAAATCAAAGAATTATTTTAAAAGACGATATCAAATTCGTCACTGAATTCCCATGTTTTTTGGGACACCCTGTATAATAAGCAATCTGGGATTTGTAATAACACTAAATTTATCTAATTAATTTTTATTTCATAATAATGTTTGTTCTCGTCTTTAATAATATTCAGGTTTCTACTAATCAACAGATGAAGATCGTGTCCAAAAATCAGCTTCACCTAAACATGTAATATGAAAATTGTATAGGGTATATCTAGATGTAAATGTAAAAGATTAAGAGCCTCATGTATCTTTGATCGGTGTATTACACTGGGCTTAACACCTTTAATTAAAGTAAAGTATATATACTTGGTTTCAATACATAAAATACTACTCAACTAAGTTCTGATAATATATTTGCTATTTTACCAAATTCTAATTAAATATATGCTAGTGCTACTCAACTAAGTTCTGATAACATATCTGCTACTCAACTAAGTTCCGATAACCTATATGCTACTCAACTGTGTTCTGATAACATATCTGCTACTCAACTAAGTTTAATAACATATCTGCTACTCGACTAAATTCTGATAACATATCTGCTAGTCAACTAAGTTCTGATACCCTACATGTTATTCAACTGTGTTCTGATAACATATATGCTACTCGACTAAGTTTTGATAACATATCTGCTACTCAACTAAATTCTGATAACATATATGCTAGTCAACTAAGTTCCGATAACCTATATGTTACTCCACTGTGTTCTGATAACATATCTGCTACTCAACTAAATTCTGAAAACATATCTGCTACTCAACTAAGTTCTGATAACATATCTGCTACTTAACTAAGTTCCGATAACCTATATTTTACTCAACTGTGTTCTGATAACATATCTGCTACTTAACTAAGTTTAATAACATATCTGCTACTCGACTAAATTCTGATAACATATCTGCTAGTCAACTAAGTTCTGATAACCTACATGTTACTCAACTGTGTTCTGATAACATATCTGCTACTCAACTAAGTTTTGATAACATATATGCTACTCCACTAAGTTCTGATAACATATCTGCTACTCAACTAAATTCTGATAACATATCTGCTAGTCAACTGAGTTCCGATAACCTACATGTTACTCCACTGTGTTCTGATGACATATCTGCTACTCAACTAAGTTCTGATAAAATATCTGCTACTCCACAAAGTTCTGATAACATATCTGCTACTCCACAAAGTTCAAATAACATATCTGCTACTTGATTAAATTCTGATAACATATCTGTAATCAACTAAGTTCTGATAACCTATATGTTACTCCACTATGTTCTGATAACGTTCCGTTTACACATTTGCTACTCGACTAGGTTCTGAAAACATATATACTACTCCACTAAGTTCTGAAAACATGTATGCTACTCCAATAAGTTCTAATAACATATCTGCTACTCCAATAAGTTCTGATAACATATATGCTACTTAACTCAGTTCTGATAACATGTATGCTACTCCACTAAGTTCTGATAACATATCTGCTACTCCACAAAGTTCAAATAACATATCTGCTACTTGATTAAATTCCGATAACATATCTGTAATCAACTCAGGTCTGATAACCTATAAGTTACTCCACTGTGTTCTGATAACATATCTGCTACTTATCTAAGTTCTGATAACGTTCCGTTAACACATTTGCTACTCGACTAGGTTCTGAAAACATATATGCTACTCCACTAAGTTCTGATAACATATCTGCTACTCCACAAAGTTCAAATAACATATCTGCTACTCGATTAAATTCTGATAACATATCTGTAATCAACTAAGTTCTGATAACCTATATGTTACTCCACTATGTTCTGATAACATACCTGCTACTCAATTAAGTTCTGATAACGTTCCGTTTACACATTTGCTACTCGACTAGGTTCTGAAAACATATATGCTACTCCACTAAGTTCTGAAAACATATATGCTACTTCAATAATAACTTCTAATAACATATATGCTACTCCAATAAGTTCTGATAACATATATGCTACTTAGCTAAGTTCTGATAACCTATATGTTACTCCACTGTGTTCTGATAACATATCTGCTACTCAACTAAGTTTAATAACATATCTGCTATTCGACTAAATTCTGATAACATGTCTGCTACTCCACAAAGTTCTAATAATAGATCTGCTACTCAACTAAATTCTGATAACATATCTGCTAGTCAACTAAGTTCTGATAACCTATATGCTACTCCACTTAGTTCTGATAACATATATGCTACTCCACTAAGTTCTGATAACATATCTGCTACTCACCTAAGTTCTGATAACGTTCCGTTAACACATTTGCTACTCGACTAGGTTATGAAAACATATATGCTACTCGACTAAATTCTGATAACATATCTGCTACTCGACTAAATTTTGATAACATATCTGCTCTTCAACTAAGTTCTGATAACATATCTGCTACTCGACTAAATTCTGATAACATATCTGCTACTAAAATAACTAAAATAAACATTTTTTTTGAAAAAAAATAATGCTTACCCGTCAGTTTGTTTATCTTGATATCTCTTGTACATCTGACTGAACATTCCCAAACAAAGAACTCCTTAAACAGAAAATATATTAATACAGCAGAAAACCTTTTTTAAAAAAATTATGATAGTTTCCCTCCGAAGGGAAAAGAGAGAAGAGGGAAGGAAGAAGGAGGAAAAAGAGGGAATTTATTTCTTCTGCTAGTTTTGGTTCAATAAAGGAACGAAGCTAGGGTTGTATTTAATTCCATTTTTTTTTATTCTTCAAAAAAGGAAACAAAGCTAGGGTTGTATATTATTCCATTTTATTTTCTTCCCCAAATTCAACAACAAAAAAGACATTATTTTTTAAAGAGATTTATACTGCAGTGCATAATAAACCCCATAAGTATACATTTTGTATGGATGGCGCCGCAGGGAATTTTTTTTACTTTTGGTATGGTGATAATGACAAAGAAGTTTTGATTGATTATTTGTCNGGGGGGGGGGGGGGGTGTTTGACTATTACGAAAAATGATTAGAGTAAGGGGTATTCTTTTATCAAATTTTTATTGCGCGGAAATTCTTAACGTTTTTTTATAATGCATTAAAACTATCTGGGAAAATTGGTTGTGAAAAACTGTCTAGATTCAGAGAAAGTTAGATATGAAAAGGTAAAGAGCCCCACTCCAACCCTTCACTTCCCTAAATTCCCCTTTCCTTCCTTATCTGCCAACCTTCCATAAATTTTTCCTTCCCCTTCCCTTACCTACATTCCGCATATTGTTTCCTTCTTCTTCCCTACCTCCCCTTTCCTTTTTGTTGTTCCCTAATCCCTATTTTTGTCTTTCCCTCTCAACTTTACCGTATTCCTCCCGACCTTCCCTTTCCCAACCTACTTATTCCCTACTTTTCCCCTTCCCTACCTATCTCCTTCCCCCCACCTATCTCCTTCCCCCCACCTATCTCCTTCCCTCCCTACCTATCTCCTTCCCTCCCTACTTATCTCCTTTACTTCCTGTCCACTACCCTCCCTACCTTTCCTCCTTCTCCACCCATCCCTTTCTTCTGTTGTTCCCCTTACCCTTTTACTTTCCATTTTTCTCCTTTTCATTTTCTTTCCCATTTTCCTTCCATTCTTCTCCTCTTTGGTCTTTCATTTCTTTAACCCCCAGGGGGGGGGGGGAGAACTTTATACACCCTTGAACAAAGCTATACCTTTTTTAAGGAAAATATACAATATTTTTCCCAATTACAATGTCATGTTTTCCCTTGTTAGGGCACCAAAACGCTCATATCAAATCAAATCAAATCCAGCAATATTCTCGTCAAGTGTGGCTCCCCCCCCCCCCCAGGAAGCAGCAAACTTCTTCGATACACCAGTAATAAATACTTTTTGGCTTTGGAGAAGAAAATGAATCAAAAAGAATATGAGTCACAGAACTAATAAACAAAACGCAAGGTAGAAAATTTTTTATCCTTTCAGAGAGAAGGAAAAATAAAAATTAAGAACTTAATAGATATTTTGTGTCCCCAATCGTTTTTGGTATACAAAGAAGGTCAATTTTGATAAACTTACCGTATGTACAGTAAAACTTTTTAGTTTGCATGGGAGGTTACTAGATTTGGGGTTTCTCCCACTCTTTCGATGTGAGGGTTACAGAGAAATTAAAATTTTTTGGAGAAAATTTTATTTTTTACATTTTTTTTACAACCCGACCAATTGATGATATATCGATGATTTTTTCTTCAAAAATTGATCATTTTTATAAGATAAGATTGATAATTTATAAAATTTTTAACGCAAAACTTTTTTGCCCGAATTTAGCGAATAGAACCCAATAAAAAAAATGTTGCGCTCCGCGAGCATATATGACGTATGGGGGAAAAATGCTATAAAAAAGAGGGGGGAATTTTTCGAGAAAATATACACTCTGTATACAAATATTTATTGTTTACCCCTGTGAAGGGTATAAATATTTATTTAGTATTTACCTATAACAGTTCCCTGTGCTAACATTCTAGTGTGAATGACGTAAACTGAGATCTTCATATCCTTGTTCTTATTTTTAAAATTCCTCGCCATATAACCCAGTCCTGCTAGTCCAGCGACAGCGCCAAATTGCTGAAAGCAAAAAAGAGTTAAAATTTCGATAAATTATTTCAAAATTTTTTTTTAATTCTTAGGAGGAAACTTAGTTGGTGACATAACAAAAGAAAACAATACCAATGATTAAAGCTTTTTATTCTTTACGTTTGAAGCAAATTACTTCAACATCTGAAAAAAACCTCAGGTTCGTCTAGTTACGAAACAAATCTATTTACCCTTTTTAGATTTCTCACTACTCAGCTCGCAGGGGTGTATATTTTTAAAAATTAGCTCTGCAACTTTATTTAGACACTTTGTGCTTAAAACATTTGGCAACTGTGCCTATTTTATTTTAACGTTTTGTAAAATTAATACTTTACCATAAAGCCTAGTCCGGCTCTTGCCTCCTTCTTCGCGTTGGGGTCAAAGAGTTCATAACCCTGGTCCGTCTCTGTTTCAGATCCGGAGCCTGACATTTTTACCTAAAATAAAATTTCATCAAAACTAATTAACGATATAGAAGACAACATTTCGGAAGTGGGCAGGCCATTAACTGAAAGATTTTGAAGGAGGGGGGGGGGGGGGGCAAAGCCGTCATTAACAGCCAAAAACCATTGATTTTACCTAAAATTTTATCTCACATGGGGTGGGGGCGAACGCACAAACTTGTCCCCCCCCCCAGTCATGGCACTGAGTGGAGATGAAAATGTACATTAAGGGGGGGGGACGTTGTCTAGTAATCGCGCTCACTAGGATTGAGCATTGGACCTAGATGAAACTAAGACCTGATGACTTGAGTAACTAAAATATGGTGATGGTGATGAGTATAAAAAGTAGATGTTAGACATTTATCAAAAATATATTTCAGTCTGGGTTGACCCTTGCCAGTTCTTGAGATTGTTTCAGTCACGAAGATTAAAAACAAACTGTTGAGTAACTAATGTTGAACTTAATTAGATTTGAATATAGTTTAATACTTAAAAATACCAGAGTATATTCGGATTCAGGTTTATTTAGTGCGTTGTATATTTTAACTAAGAATGGATTAAGGGTTGAGTAGTGTTGTGCTTGGCTCTGAAGGACCAGGACCTAGAATAGCAAAAAAAAATATTTAAACCCTCTGATATTTCTACGGCCACTGAAAGAACTTTTCTATTGCTCACAAATGCATCAGCAATGTTAATTGTTTTACGTCCCCTTCCTAGTACACTATTGATAGTTTGTCATGCTTGTTTACAATCTTTACTATATTCTTGAAATTTATCATCTAAGTATTTTTTAAACCTAAATTATACAAAGACCGTAAGACACTTTCTGTCAGACCCATGTACAAAATTGGTAGGAGGAGGGGGGGTCCAAAAATCGTTCTCTAGGAATATACAGGAAAGTGTCTCGATTTAACCTAACCCGTGGCCGCCGCGCTCGGCCCCCTCGCCCATCCTAGCCGCAGCGCTCGGTCCAGAGAGTGTGTTAACTAATCTAACCTGTGGCCTTAGCGCTCGGCCCCCTAGCGCGTCCTAGCCGCAACGCTCGGCCCAGAAAGTGTCTTAACCTAACCTAGCCCTAAATAATGCTAAATAAATACTAATTTAGTCATGTACAAAAATGATAGGGGGGGGGTCCAAAAATCGTTCACTAGGACAGACCCAGATTCGTTCTCTAAGAAATTACCAAAAATTGATAGAAAGGGGGAAGGAGGGGGGACTGGGTCAAAAAATCGTTCTCTTGGAAATTACCAATTGTCCTGCCCTAACCCTGCAATAATACAAAATAAATATTTTTTTTGAAAATAGTTTAAAACTAGGTAATGTACAGAATTGATAGGGTGGGCGCAGCGCTCGGCCCAGAAAGTATCTTAACCTAACCTAACCCTAAATAACAAAAAAATCGTATACTAGGACAGACCCTAGATGCCAAGATGGGACGAAGAAATTGGAGGAAGAGAAAGGGAATAAGAAGGGGAAATGAAATTAATCTTCAGTTATCCAATGGTGGGCTCGGACAATTGATTTGTCAATCTCGCATCAAGATACGCGTGAATCTACTTCCAGTACACGGGGTTTCGACGAGAAGACGCGGGTTCCACCCGGAAGCTTCTTGAGACTCAAAATATTGCGAAAATAAAGAATATTTACCATGGATCGAACTCGTGAATAATACTCTCGAATCTGATAACTGCAAAGAGTCGTGAGCTGAAACCTGCGAGACAAGCGAGCGCAAGCACCGTAAACACGATCAAGCTCTTCGAGCCCGCCGTGCTCAACATCGGGGCCTTGGAAATCTCGATGTTTTTCGACGAGTTTTCCGTGGTCGCCATCCTCAGTCCTCTCTTCCACGTAAAGCGTAAACAGTGTTAAACCAATGAAATGCTGAACAAGGAGACTCGGACCAATCATAGCTTGACAAACCGGTAAGACGGTTTATAATTGATTCTGATTGGTGGAAACATTAAGAAAATCCGGTTTTCAGGAATTTACTTTTCACAAAAACGACATTCAAAAGAGGTGTTAAAAAGAAGACGACAATCTATTTAACAAAATAAATATTATAGAACTGTCTGTTTAAATAAAGTTCTCAAATTATTAAGAAGTGCCTCACTACCAAAGGGGGAAAGTCCGCCCAACCAACTAACAATTTTGTGAATTGTGAGGGGAGGATTTGGTTTCATTANGTTTCAGTGGTGTGAGGTAAAAAAACAGAATTTTTTATTGCTGCAGATTTGGTTATAGAAGCTAAAGGATCCTGTAGAAGCTGAAGGGTCCTGTAGAAGCTGAAGGGTCCTGTAGAAGCTGAAGGATTCTATAGAAGCTGAAGGATTCAATAGAAGCTGACGGATCGATCCTGTAGAAGCTGAATTATCCTGAAGAAGTTTAAATATCCTGAAAAATCTGAAGGAAGCCTATAAAAGCTAAACGATGTCGTGGAAGCTGAAGGATCCATGGTAGAATCTTAAGGATCCTAAAGAAGCTGAAGGATGCTGTAGAGGCTGATCAGGATTCTGTAGAAGCTAAAGGGTCTTGTGGAAGCTAAAGGATTCTGTAGAAGCTGACTAGGTTCCTGTAGAAGATGAATAATGCTTAGAAGCTGAAGGATCCTGTACAAGCTGAAGGATGCTGTATGAACTGAAAGATCCTGTAGAAGCTAAATAATGCTGTAGAAGCTGAAGGATCCTACGTGGGGACTAAAGGATTCCTGTGGATATGAAGGATCCTGCTGAGATTGAAGAATCTTGTAGAAGCTAAAGGATGCTATTGATGACTGAAGGATCCTGTACAACCTGAAAGGTCATCTGGAAACTGAAGGATCTTGTAGAAGCTGAAGGATCCTGTGAAGACCGACGGATTCTGTGAAGACTGAAGGATCCTGTTGAGATTGAAAGATCCTGTGTTAGCTGAAGAATCTTTTATGACAGAGGGTGAGGTACAGGAATTTGTCCTGTGGAAACTGAAGGATCCTGTAGAAGCTGAAAGGGATCCTGTAGAAGCTGAAGGATCCTGAAGAAAATGATGAATCCTGTAGAAGCTGTAGAATCCTGTAGAAGCTGAAGGATCCTGTAGAAACTGAAGGATCCTGCAGAAGCTGAAGGATCCTGTAGAAGCTGAAGGTTCCTTAGAAGCTGAAGGATTCTATGGAAGCCGAAGGATTCTTTAGATACTGAAGGTTCCTTAAAGGCTGAAGGATTCTATAGAAGCTGAAGGATTGGATTCTGTGGAAGCTGAAGTATCCTGTGACCTGTAGAAGCTGAAGGGTCGATTCTGTAGAAGCTTAATTATACTCTAGAAGCTGAAGGAATTCTGAAAGAAGCTAGAAGGATGTTTGCAGAAGCTGTAGGAATTCAGGGGCGTACGAGAGCATTTATGTGGGGGGGGGGGGGCATTTTTGCGCGCGCGCAACTCGCCCCCTTAAAATGTTGTGCCTTCCTTGGCAACATTGTCCCCCCCCCCTAAAAACCCGTTTTTTGAAAAAATATTGATACCTTTTTCAATTATGTAAACAGATCATATATAGACTTCCATATGTTCCATATGTATAACAAGTATATAAAAAAATTAATTATTTATTTAATTTTCTTAAGTGCACTCCTCTAATACTGCAGTACTCATACAACATTGTGTATTGATTTTTTTTATTCACGAATTTGTCAGAGAATTTTATTGTTTTTTAATTTTTATCTTTCCACAATTGATCTGTAAACCGTTTTACTATTACTTCTACCTGTGAGAGTAAAACCTTTTTTTGCCAGTTTGGACAATTTACATTTACACATTTCTAAAAGGGTACAGTAGGTTCCCACAGCCTCCTCTCACACTTAGATAAGAAGATTTGAAGAACATTCCTAAACTGGTTCATCAGTTTCTTCACTGAGATCAGTTTACAAAACTTACACTAATCCTTCACATTTATGTTCTCCAGTAGAGCATTTAATATTTCAAAACATTGTAATTAATCAAAGTCTCATGTTTACTGTACCTTCAGTCCAACTAAATATCAATATTTTAGAACTAAATTGTAAAGGTATAAGGTTTTTATGAACAGTAAAAAGTGGTGAAAATAGGCAAAAAATTTATGAATTTGCAATCCCCTGTTTTTGCTAAACAGATTGCAGCATAAAAATTAACACCATGTTTTATTTAAATTGTTCTTGAAATAGTCAGTCAGTAGAGTTATGTGCAAAAGCCCTTTACTCAACTTTAGTAGAATTGGACCAAATATTGTAAAAACATTTACATTTTTAATTTTAGAGAAAACTATTTTGTTACACAAATATCATTTGTTGTGGCAATGTATGCATCAATATACAGAGAAGTTACCAAGCTATAAAGAGAGTTAGCAAAGTGTTATAAAAAGCATTTGTAACTGCAATATTTTTCCAGGCTGAAGTTTTTATATTTTGATGGTCCTAAATCCTTCCCTTGTGGCATGTAACTGTAAGTTGCAACCAAATTTGAGCCCAATTGGTTTAGCCAATTTGATGTTTGCCAGATACTAGCAAACACCAGGCCACCCAGATAAGCAAAATATTTACAGTCCAATGAGCATAAGACATGGCAATTGTACAGTTGTTAACACAAATTCGAAATATAAGGAAGACGATTTTACCGACTCAGATGCCGTTGACTATTCTCAAGACGTGTGTATCTATTTCCACCATGAAGCGCCCACATGTCACCCTCGCTCCTTCGTTCCCCCTCACCCCTCCACACATCCTGATCCTAGCCCGGCAGTCAGATTGAAACACTGGAGATGATCACAACTCCGTCTCAGGGAGCAACCCTGGCTCCTTCATGGTGATGATGCAGATACCTAGCTATCAACAGACGATGCTTACATCCAGCTCAATCATGTTCCAAGAGTTCCTAAATTATCATGCGAACATTGAGACGTATTCCCTCATATTCGAAAATGAAAAAACCGTGATCTCTCCCCCTCCTTATCCAAAGCCTGGGGTGAGAGGAAACCTGTTGTTCCAGTTCCTGATGATCTGCACCACCAACATGAAGCT